GGTTAATTTCAAACACTTTTTCTTGTATGAACATACCTAGGTGGGACTCGTTTTTGTTTAGCAGTTACAAGCATTTTAAAAAATATAATTTCATATTTTGTTAAGATATTGGCACAAATATTTTGATTTCGCAAGTCGATATAGGCACATTCCAATCCGTCTTATGGTTCGGGGACAAAAAAGTAGCAAGCTGTGGGTTATGAGCCGTTGCGCACGCAAAAATCAGCAAAAACCCATTTAAAAATGCTTAATAAATTGTATGCAAATTCCGTAGCGGCGGTTTCTGTTTTCTAATTGTTTTACTTCGTGGACAACGGCATTTTGAATACGGAAACACAACGAGAAAAGATTGTTTTGCTAGATTTAATAAACACCGATGAAGAAAAGAGTTTAAGAGAAAGGAAACCATTACTGGTATAGCAAAAAAGTTGCATTTAAATGCGTGTTAGATACTTTACTATCATAAAAATGATAGGAATAGGATAGGAACTTTATTTTAATGGTTTTGCAGACCCATTTTGAGAACATATTGTGGAAGAACAGACAAAAATCATCCGCAGAAGCTGTGCTTGTCCTAACCTCAAAATTTTCTGAAAAATTATGCAAGTAAGAGTATAAATAAGAATTAAATGTCAGAGTATAAAAACGCAGGCGGTGTCCAGAGATTAACGCGGTAAATTTCGTGGTCCTCGCACGAAATCAACCAAGAATTTCTCCTAAATTACGGGTCAATCGAACCGTAAAATAAAAAAAAATATATGAATCGATTTGAATGTAATGCACTGGTGGCTGTAAATACTATCATCGTAAAAAACCAGTTTGGTGATCATCGATAAAAGAATTGTAGATGACAGAGAAACTATCTTTAGTAAAACGCACTCGATTTTCAATATACAGGACGTTAAATGTTTTATTTATTTCGCTTGATGCTATGATTACTGAAATTTAAGATGAATTAAGGTAATTCAAATAAATTCATAGATTTTTTCTAAGAAATCTAATCAAATGAAGGCTTATTATGAGAAATAGAACAAAACAATAAATCTTCCACTTTGATTTTAACGGTTCTTGTGAACATATCGCAAAAACAAGATTATCACACTTGATTGAAAATGGAAAAACCTTAAACAAAAAAAAAATAATAATAAAATTAATTTATTGGAAGACTTAGAAATTCTAAGAGAAATTAAAAGGAACTCTAATAACTGTGTTAATATTCAAGTCAATTTAAATTGTAATTTTAAACCTATATTCAAGTATCTTTAGGAATCTCATTAATTTACAGCTGATATTTTTTTATTAGTATATTGGTAGTTTTATTTTTAAAATTTTTGTTTTCACCTAGTTGGTAATCCTTAGAATTGTAGAATGTCAATTTTCAATTTCATTTAACATTTAACCTCACTTTATTTCACTCCACGTGTTCGACATTGTTAGTCAATTTCTGTTTCTTTCTCTTGTTATTTACCAGTAATTGATGTTATATTTAATGTTTTATATTGTTATGTCGAACTTATTAAGATTTTCAACGTTTCCTAAATATTTTTTGGTATCTAAAATTTAACATAAGTAAAAAATTTTTTTGCTTTATATAATGTCATTTCAACCTGTTGATGTTTTAGGATAGCTCCGATGATGACTATGTAGTCGAAAGCGCTCAGCTAAGATTTTAATAAAAATTTTATACACACTTTAACATACAAATTTCTTTGGCTTTTCTTTAAAAAAAACACCTTAAACGAATAATGACGTCATCAATTACATTTTTTTCCAGAAACATACCCACATTTTTTTCATGTTAAAAAGCTTTCTTTTTTCTTTTCTAACTTTTATTAGAGAATTTTTTTCTGTGTTAGTTCCCGTTTAAAAAGTTATAAGCAATATCGTCCTAAAGAATCCAAATACCACCAAATAATCACATTAGCGGTTGAAGGATCAAGTAGTCGTTGGAAAATAATTGAATGTTGATTGTTTAAAGTGCATAAATGTCATAAAGAATAAATAAAAGGATTAAATTCGATAATTCTTTAATACAGTTAAAACAGAAGGTTTGACTACGTAAGAAATCTCTGACTACTTAGTAAGGAATACTCTGATCATAGATTANCAAACAGTTGCAAGCTTTTTACAGAGAGTATCTATATGAGATTCCCAACTCAAAGTGTTGTTTAAATACAAACCCAAAAATTTGGTTTCTTGCACCTGTTTTATGGATCTTTGATCGATTCTAAGCAGATGACTAAAATTCGTACTGTTGACTCTAGGAGTAAAATTCATAATAACAGTTTTATCTTTGTTCATAATAAGATGATTCTTTCTGAACCAATTACAAAGGTCATTTAACTTTGATTGAGCTGTATTTGTTAATCTAATGTAATCATATTCAGACACCAGATATGAGGTATCATCAGCAAAAAGTACAAGACTTCCATTGCTAACACTACACACCAAATCATTGACATATATTATAAATAATAAGGGCCCCGATGATGACTATGTAGTCGAAAGTGCTCAGCTAAGATTTTAATAAAAATTTTATAGACACTTTAACATACAAATTTCTTTGGCTTTTCTTTAAAAAAACACTTTAAACGACTAATGACGTCATCAATTACATTTTTTCCAGAAACATACCCACATTTTTTTCATGTTAAAAAGCTCTCATTTTTCTATTCTAACTTTTATTAGAGAAATTTTTCTGTTTTAGTTCCCGTTTAAAAAGTTATAAGCAATATCGTCCTAAAGAATCCAAATACCACCAAAAAATCACATTAGCGGTTGAAGGATCAAGTAGTCGTTGGAAAATAATTGAATGTTGATTGTTTAAAGTGCAAAAATGTCATAAAGAATAAATAAAAGGATTAATACTATATACTACGTAAGGAATCTCTGACTACTTAGTAAGGAATACTCTGATCATAGATTAGAGAAGTCGGCTTTAGTTGTTAATGTTGCTGCTGCTGCTCGTGTTGTTGTTGTTGGTGTTGTAGATCAATAGCATCACTAAATTTTGTAATCATGATATCCATTGGTCTTTAAAATTCGTTGAACGGCTGATTTATCCAAATTCAATTCCCGGCTAGCCAGTTGTATAGAATTTCGTGGATTTTGTTCGAAATACTGTAACAATCTAGCTGTATTAACATTGCTTCTTACCCTTCGGTCAATTATTTGATTTTTCCGAACAGAAAATGCATCTTCATTTCGTCGCAAGTTCGTCTACAATCTTGTAAAGGTTCTATGATCAGGAATGAGACGCTCTGAACATTGCTTCTTACCCTTCGGTCAATTATTTGATTTTTCCGAACAGAAAATGCAATTTCATTTCGTCGCAAGTTCGTCTACAATCTTGTAAAGGTTCTATGATCAGGAATGAGGCGCTCTGAATACCTTTCTCGATATAACCCTACAGCTCTTCTTGATTTTCTTGTGACTCGCCGTAAATTAGCAACATATCAACTTTTTCTGAATGAGAAAACATTTTGTAAGCACAAAATTTATACGTTTGACGACCGTATTGAGTAATGATAAGTATTTTGTGGCATTTATACACTTTAAACAACGAACATTCAATTATTTTCCAACGACTACTTGATCCTTCCTCCGCTAATGTGATTTTTACGTGGTATTTCTTTCGAGTCTCTTTAGGGAGATATTGCTTATAACTTTTAAATGGGAAGTAATACAGAAACATTTTTCAAATAAAAGTTTATTAGAAAAAATAGAGCTTTTTAACAGGAGAAAAATTTGGGTATGTTTCTGGAAAAAATATAGTTGATGACGTCATTAGTCGTTTTTGTCAAATCCCAAAGATGTATTTTCGATTGATACCACGTGTTTCAAATTTTATTTAAATTTTTTGTTTCCTCACACCATACTATCGACTTTGAGACAACTTGTACGTGATTTTAAAAAGAATAAATAAATATATACAACTTTCTAAGCAATTTACAGATTATTGTCCCTTATTATCGTTTTAATTTTGACGTATCCACTTACCATTAAACGTTATGAACGTCGTTATAGAACTCTTTTCTTCTCAGGAGAAATTCATATGGCATCGACGTATGGTACGACAATGAAATATGTAGCCCACAAGCAAACCGTTCAACAAATGTCGTTCTAACCGTACAATTTTCACCGTTTAGTAATTTTCCAGTTGATTAATCTCGCCAGAAGAAAATATCGCGGGAGAAAAAGATATTTAATATTATTGCAAATAGAAATAACCAGAAAAGAATGTGGATTATTTGTACAAATACGTATAGGTGATCAGCGACAATGAGCGTATTAATTGTGCTTTTAAACTTGCGACACGAGTTTCAACAGAAAAGGACAAATATTTTAAACAGTTTGCCCAATATTTCTGTTGCAGAAATATTTTACTTGTCTTTTTTGCTTGGCATGTGTCAGAAATTGTAAAATTCATTGATAATTCACAAATATATTAACGCAAGTATATTCTATAGCTATGTGCCAACCTCAGTTTTTAAATTTGTTTGTTTGTAATTCGGTAGAAATAAATTTAAATGGATTTGAAAAACGAATGCTGCTAAATGTTCATAGTGTTATAAATCAAAAAAAAAATAATAAGAAGTCCTTTTTTCCACAAAATATTAAAGAAATTTTTGCAATTGTATTTGATTAAATCCTATTAATTTTCAAATTGTAGGATTTGTAGAATAATAATTATGGAAAGCTAGAATTTAGTAAAGTTAAATTTTCATGTAACAACGAATTTAAAAATTCTTCTTACCATCCTTACGGATTATTTTGATTTAATTAAATATTATTGTTATACATAGCTTAATTTTGTTTAAACACAGTTTTAAAATATCACCTAGTATAGTTTTATTACTATTCCAGTAAATATAAAATTTCTTTAAAGATTTCTTTTTCAACTGATATTTTATATTACTGTAACATCGAATATTTAAAAGCTTTATACGTTCATGAATTTTTCTGGCCCATTCAATTTTTTCAAAAAGTCTTGTACTTACGTCTTATATCGCAGATGAGAAAATCCAACACATACAGAGTATCACTATCCCAACACAACGACTATACGGATACTGAGCTAAATGCAGACCTCGATCGGGAGAGTAGAGTTTATTCACTTGCCATGATGGTACCTTGCATGGGTGATATCAGTAGGGTCGGATTGGTGGTGGTACCAATGGGAGTACTGTTTCTCCGACTGTCTACTGAACGTCATTGCGGTTTGCAGCGTCATAATATACAGGGTATTCGAAGTTCGACTGCCTTAATTTTAACAGACGATAGAAGACATTAAAATAAGCAAAAAATTTTTTTTTGCCTTAATTTCACCCTTTTCGGGGAAAAAATTGTTCAAATTTTCCATTTTATTTTGCAAAGTTTGGTTTATTTAGGGATTTTTACATAAATGCGTTGTAATAAATTTAAAATTCGATAAAATTCATATCGAGCACTGTGGGAACGGTGCGACGGATAAAACGAGGTATACGCTGTCCAGCGTTACGCAATTCAGTTGGTATCTGGAGTTGGACCGTGTCTGAGTGTTTCTTGCGTACCACGATTTCCTTTTCTTCAGGTGTTTTCCAGCGAGTATACGATAGATTCGAAGGTGTCGTGCCTGTATCAAAAATGGTGGTGGACATTTTGAGCATATGTTGTAGCTTGTTTTGTACTTGTGCGTTTAAAAATTACTGAATTTTGCTTTTTGGTAAGTACCTAAATTATTTTTTATACGTATGATTATTTGGATGACGTGAATCTTTGGGTACTTTAATTACATACTTTTCAAATTCATAATTTGATTAAAAGTTAACTTCCTGTTTTAAGAGACCCATAATTACTAAAATTCGAGAGAAAATTTAAGCACAACGCTATCTTCGTATTACAAAATCGACATCGACAAACATTTTATTTTATTTATTTAAAAGCTGTAAAGCAACTGTTTTGAAATTTACTAAATGTTTCACAGTAATAGTTGTTTACATTTTTTCCGTAGGACAAGTCTGCCGCGTGCACACGTGGTATGCATCAGCTGTGTAGCGTTAGGTTAAGCGCTGTTGTCACGTTGTGATGAAACTCCCCAATATTAATACTCGCTGTATTTTGAAAACTGTTAATTTTACGCCTCTGTAATATACAACTTTTTTGTTCATTTATGATTGCTCTATTTCATGCTGAAGAAATGGCAGTCAAATTTTTTAATTTGTTAAGGATAATTACGTTGATACAATTAAAAAATGCAAATTGTGAAGCTATTGTTTAATTGATAAAAAGCAGGAAAATGGAAAAAATTATTAATTAATATTTATGTGTAATCATTTTATTTCCATATTTATTCTTAGTTGACAGAAATTTCTTTTAAACGAAATAACAACTGTCGAAAACAATGGGCGGTAAGTATCTGGCACTTGATATTTTAATAAATTTGTTAAAATTACGTAATACATCTTAGTACGTGAATGATTTATAGTAAGAAAATTTACAGGATTAGCCACCAAGAAAACTTCTGACGTATTGGAAATGAATGTAGTTGTGATAGATCTAACGTTTTCTAATTCAATACTTGTCAAACGGGATATTCCATTTGTCATCGTCATCTTGCAGCAACACCTTCATCTCCTGACAAAAAGTGTTCCTGACCGTATTAGCTCTTTCTTGGTTCGTATATATGCTTTTTCATAATACCATGGAGATACATGAAAATAAAAACACAAAAATGCACTGTACCTTCGTAAAACACTGAATTAAATAACTCTACACGAACACCTTCTCGTAAACCGAACTGAAAACTAAAATAAAAATGTAACAAATACGGCCAATACCGTTTTGCAGAATTAATCTGACAGTATATCCCATTTACCATTCTGTCATATCATGCCAAGTGTGAAGTCAACTGGGAGTAGCTGCTTTTCAAAGGCATCAACGCGGCATGTTAACAGAACAGCGGTAGTTTCGCCTTTGACTTGTCAGTGCTGCGAGAAACAACTACTCCGAGAGCTATTTGCCCCTACCGGCAACACCTAGTGCAACAGCTAGGATCGTTTGTCAGTTTTCAGTTTACCCACCAGGCACGGACCGGTTTTGGATTTATTAGTCCTCATCAGTGCGTCATAGGTGCGACAACCGACAAACAACCCAGCTGTTCTTCGTCGTATCATCACGAAGAGGAAATACATTGTACGCGGGTGCCACTAGGTGTTGCGAGTATAATTCAATGCCGGTAGGGGCAAATAGCTCTCGGAGTAGTTGTTTCTCGGAGCACTGACAAGTCAAGCATTGTGTTACGCCCTCTGTGGGTGGCAGTCGCGCAACAAAGTATCTGCAGTTAGCAGGTCGCAGATGGAGCCATTGGCTCCCGCGTACAGCGGTAGTTTCGTTGCCCCTCGGAAGCGTTTGGAACAGGATTGGATTCTATACAAATTTAAACTCTTCACCATTAAATTTTGCTGATGTTTGTTTATTTTGGATTAATTTATTATAGCTAGCACCCAGCATATCGGGGCTAGGCATATTACGTTGTTGAAGTAGCTGTATTTTGTTTAAATTTTTATAACTTTTTAATATTACCTGTTTTAACTTTCCTAAACGTGTCCCTATCTGCTTTACGTAGGGACAGTAGTATGTATAATTCAGCCAAACTAGATGTCAGAGGTCATTGGGACACTGAGATTCACAAATTAAATACATACACTGTTATAAAAAAAATAAAACAGTTGTTTTTAAAAACTGGAAACGATATTAAAATAATGTTTCATGTCAATCAGATTTGAATTTTTTTTCACTGTTTATTATGCATGTTTTTTAACATGGCAAAACATATGATGACTTTAAAATAACACGTCGCTAGGCCATACAAATGTAATATGTTTTACTAAATTACTTTCCATTGTCGCTATCTAACAGTTGATTAGGAAAGTTTAACAACTGGGAACACTGATACATGTTACCGGACTAATATTACTTGACTAATTATTTGAATAAAAAAAATACCTATTCGTTGCAGGGGAAGAAATACTATTACCCTTAAAAAATTGACCCCAACTTTAATCATATAAATGCAATAGTATTTTAATCAAATATTCATTTTCACTTCGAATATATATTTTCCGTAGAATGATATCAGTTATGCTAATTTAAAAAAAATTGAGGTTACAATGAAGGACTGTCATTGGAAATACAATAGCAGTTCTCTCCTTGTATTAACTATATTGTGTTTTTTCAGTATCACCCCATCCTCTTCTAATATCAGTTCCATGTTTGTAAATAAAATAATTAAAATTAATTCTCAATAAATAATGACTGCATGCTATACATAAACAATATTTATAATAATTAATTTATTAATAATGCAATTTTAATTAAAAGTGTTACTGGATAACGCATGTATAATCGCAAAATGAGTACAAGTTGCCTTGAAAAAAAAATCCTAAGACTTTTAAAATTTAGCACGGTATCTTAATCTTCTGTTTCATGTTATTATGCAGAATTGGTTAATAACACTTATTTACGCTGCTTTCGGCTAATAATAAGAATTTGTTGAATAGACATTAATTTCAAATCGAAATATCATCGTATTGAGGTCGAGGTTTTTCTGCATTTGAAACTTTGGCGGATGCGCAAGTGTCAAGAACAATGACTGGTTTATGACATAACAGAGTATATTTACCTTATAATTTTGTTACTAGAACATTCTCGGTCTCTGCTAAAACCAAATTCACCTAAAATGTTCAGATTTAGAAATATTTTGTAACATCCGGAGGAAAGGTCTAAATTTTTATTATGTACAGTAGTAGGGTGGCAGGGTGGTTGTGTCTCTTGTGAAAATATGTTAGTTTATCATGTTTTAAGAGCCCCGTCAAAAAATCAGCTCAATAAAAATTCGTTTAGAGGTCGCTCAAGATTTTTAAAAATTTCCAAAATCGTCAAAAATTGATTTTTTTTCTCGTTATTTTATCATTTTCTAGGTTGAAAAAAATCTCTATTATGAAAATTTCAAATCGATATTTTAATTTCTAAAACTCATTCATAATTATTTTAACTTTCAAAGTAGTGTACAGGGCGATTCACTATATTTTGACCCCCCTTTAACTTTTTTGTTTTGATAGTTATAAAAAAATGTGAAATATAAAAGTTGTACGAGTTTTCATGAATTTTTCGAAAATGATAGTAGAAAAACAAATGAAGTCCAAACAAAATGGCCGCGGATGTTAACTTTGTTAAGTTAAATGGAACATCCTGTATATTTTTGCACATTTGGATAGAACGTTCCCTGTTGAGCATAGTCATGTAGGGTTTGTTGGGTCCATCGCTAATAATAAGCGAGATATGTACTATTAAAAAACGAAAAGAAGGTTTTTTATTAAGTAAATAAGACATCTTGCAATTGTTAAACCTTTTTCAGGCATTTCTGCATTTTTCCAATTACGTAAGGATTTACAGATTTAGTTATAATATATTTTGACAGATCAACAATTTTTGACGATTTTGGAAATTTTTAAAAATTTTGAGCGACCTCTAAAAATTTTTTTTGAGCTGATTTTCTGAGGGGGCTCCTAAAACATGATAAACTAACATATTTTCACAAGTTTATAACACCCTGTACAAATTTAATTAGTACCTTTAACTTTCAAGTTCCGACATTTACAACGAAATATAACCCTGACCTATAAGTCGACTGAGAAAAATTTGAACGATATATTTACATGATTTTTTCGTACCACTTCAACTCATCTTCCTTTGTTAAATATGAATTTATTTTCAAAATCGTGACGGACAAACAACCTCAGGCAAAGTCCTTAACATTCTGTTACCAGGATATGGCTTCCTCCTAGTTTAGTTTTAAAAAATCCACCAATCGAAGGTCTTTACTAACTTCAGAGTAGCTCTTGATGATCCAAGGCTATTAATTTTTTTAAACACGATAAAAAATAGTAAATATTAAATTTCTATGCACTAACATTCAAAGTTAATCATTTCACTTGTCGCTTTATCTATTTATAGCGATCAAAGTGAGACAGACACCGAGTGATGGACAAACTCCTCCTAAATCACTGTACCTACTCAATTGCTATTCCGTACAACTATAAAAAACAAAATTGTTTCTTGTTCCCATAGTTGTGTCCGGAATACAGAATCGCCTGTTATGAATTCTCTAGGAATTTTAAATAGAACATTCAATGCTGGCACGTATACCCATACAGGGTGATCTACAAGTCGTTGTAGATATAGAAATTTGTAATAACAGTCAATGAAAAAGACCACGCTGACTTCCCTAGGCATCTGTGTAGAAATTAGTTGTCACAGGGGTATTGTTCGATGGTATATGGTAACCTTTGCGTGTCAGTTTTATGTAGCACGGTTTTAATTGTCGGGTAAAAGTCAAAGGACGTCCTAACACCAGTAATACAATACCACTTTTTTAATTAAAAGTAATTTACACAAGGTGTTAACGAAATAAGTACTTAAAATTGAAGAGTATGTAAAACATGTCGAAATTGATGAAAACCTTAGTAGAGTTTTTGTCAGTGGAGGCCCCTAAGGGAGAGATCAATTATTTGATTTTTCCGAACAGAAAATGCATCTTCATTTCGTCACAAGGTCGCCTCCAATCTTGTAAAGGTTCTACGATCAGGAATGAGGCGCTTTGGATACCTTTTTAACAAAAGCGGGGACGCGTAGTAATTTACTTGTTAGTTCTCTGAACGGATGGGCCAATACGTAAAATATTTCAGTCAACACAAATTATTGAAAGTTAAGGGCTCTCAAGTAGGTTTAGCGTCGTCCTTCGGAGAAATTTAGCAATATTTTTTTGAACAAGTTCACTTAAAGTCGGGGCCATGTGACAGTCATCTGTCGGGTCCGGGAAGCACCAACCTATGCTGGGACAGAACAAAGAAATCCATATTTTTAATAACGCGCGAAACCACGAGAAGAGCGTAGAGGTTCCAAATTAGAATTAAATCAAATTGTTAAATTGATATTAACTGGAAAGGAAGGTAATAGATCAAATAGCTGGTTTTTAGGCGGATTTTCCAAGCTATTAAGAATATATTAAATGATATTGGCTAATCCGTCCCGTGTTGCTATGCGGAGTCATAAGAGGAAGGTATAGGGTTGTTTGTAAGTTTAGTCTCAAAATTATTTAGACAAATGTAAATTCAGTCCATTAGACAACTATTAACATGGCATAGTTATGCCAAAGTGTCCCGATATACAGGGTTCCCGCTAGTAACAGAAACTTCTGGACCCAAGAAATGGGCGTGTCGAAACGAAGTGTCGAATTCAGGAGAGATCTACGAAAAAAAAAGGCAGAAAGAAATTTGGGGATGTTTCTGGAAAAAATATAATTCACGACGTCATTAGTCGTTTCTGTCAAATCCCAAAGATAATACTTTCTATTGAAAATGGAGCTTTCCACATCCCATTTAAAACCACGTGTCCAAAATTTCATTTAATTTTTTTTAAATTCTCACAGTAGGCCCATACTATCGAGTTTGAGACACCTTGTACAAATAACATAAAATTCAAATCTTTTTTTTTTGGAACACCCTATATAAGTAGTTTTCGCATTCTTCAGCAGTATAGGATTTAACGAAGTAAGCTCGTCCTTAATGTGGCAAGAAAACAAATTCAAATTTGTCTTCTTTTCTTTTTTCTTTTCTCCAGTCTATATAGCCTAATTGATCCAAACGTTAATGGAAATCTTGTGTCAATATGGAATTAAACTCTTCAACAAAAAGTCCACGAAATATAAAGTGGCTTATAATTTATACTGATTAGTGGTTCAGTTGACAGCTGCTCCGCAATATGGTGATTAATATTAGTCAAAGCATAAAAAGATCATTTTGTAAAAAACTATTCGTGACGTTTTAGCTTTTAAGGTAAATATGTCTTACGAAATATAACACTTAATAATAACAGGAAATATTTGGAACTTTTATATACGAGGTGTTATTCGAACCACTGAAGAAGGCTCTCAGTTAAAAAAAAATACTGTTAATGGTTTATATAACGGAAAACAGCGGAGTTTGATTAGTGAGACTTTTGTATGGAAATGTTTTTCCGGGTTTTCTGCGGTTCTAATCAACCGATTGAGTCACTCGACCTCTCATTTTCTTCGAAATTTAATTTCCTACAACTTTTACGTTTACGGAATTGAGATTGCTCTAGTAGTTTTGGTTTTATAAGCAAAAAACTAAAAAAAACGCGTTTTTTGGAGTAAAATGTTAATAACAAATTAATTAATGAGAATTGCGAGTTGAAAACACATCAGAGTATATCACGGACTGTCTTTTAAATGATGGCACAGGTGGTATGCTGTTAGTAGTTTTGTCAAGATTTGAGTTTTTTGCTCGATTGCCTGGTCATGCGTAGTCAATTCCTTACATAAATGTTTGCAACCCACAATACAACAGTTGGTTTAATAAGTTGCATATATTGCGTACAGCTTTATTAAATTCTAGTTTTTAGTTCACAGACGATAATAGACAAAGTAAAAATCAATATTTTTATTATTTTTTATCACATTACAAAACCTTAAAACATCAAAATCACAAAATCTTTAACATAAAGGCCTATTCTAATATACTAATATAAATTTCTTAAATATACACTTCATAGAGATAATATATACAAAAGAGTCACTAGAAGCTCATATTGTTAATTATAAAAAAGTGTTCAAAAAAATTTTGTATGTAAATTTTGTAATAAACTAACGCAAAAAATTAAAGGGTCAAAAGAATTTCCGAAATATTTCCGTGATATTTGACAGAATATATTCAGGTGAAAAATGGTCGTATCGTGAATTAAAAAAAAGCATTTTGAAGCTCTAATATTCTAGTTTTTAGATTTTTCGGTCGAAATTTTTTATGAGTTACAGTTTTCATGCAATTTTAAGAAATAACGCGACAAAAAAATTTTATAAATTTTCTTTTTCCGAGTCCACGGACTTGGCAATTTTTTTTTTCAGCTAAGCCATTGCATGGGCCAGATTTAGTCAGTTTATTCTGCTTCAATTTTAATTTTTTTAAATTTCGATACGACCATTTTTCATCGAAATATCGGAATTTTAATGGAAAAGGATCCTTTTGTCTTCAATCATCGATATCTCGGCGACAAATGGTCGTATAAAGAATTGAAGGGCAATTTCGAAAACTGGAATAAATTTCCTATCACACGCTGCCGCAAATTTTCGGAATTTTTGTTTTCATCATTTATAAACTAGAATCTTAGAGCTTCAAAATGCTTTTTTCAATTCCCGATACGACCATTTCCATCCTTTAATTTTTTACATTAGCTTATTTTCACTAACTACAAAGCTGACACCCTTATATCGTCCGAGATTTGAATCAAACCAGCTAGAGCGCTCTGGAAACCGGCGTTGTAATCCACAGTGACTTCATTATACAAAAACTCTTCCCTCCTGTCTTCGTAGTGGTCATTCTGGTCAGGTCCACTTACCAGAGCACCATAGAGGATCTGAGGGTTGGGCTGCTTGGAATGATATTCGTCCCACCCACATGCGAGTGGTTTGTCAGGGCAAGAACTGTTGAAAATAAAAAAAGGATTGTACAGAGTGAACTTTAAATGTTCACAGAATATTGGGACACCCTGTATACAGTACGCGCCTAAAGTATGGAATAAATTCAGTAAAATCGAAACAAATTTGTTTTGGTAAAAATCTTCGAACAGGTCGATTTTTAATTTAAAAAATACATTTTTTAGCATAAAAGGCAATTTTCAACCGTCATTTGTTTTCGAGTAATGACGTCTCGACATTTTTTTAAATAGCAACACCCTATTTTTTTTCTTGATTCTGAAAGATCGTTTCATTGTCGATCCGACAGTATTAAAATGTTGCCATCTTACATAGGAAAATTTTCTAGTAAATGACGATTGAATGTTAGAAAACGTAAATTTTATTCATTAAAACCCACCGACTTGACAATACGTAAGTCTGTGTAGAAATTCTTCTTGCACATTATAAATTATTTCTGGGGTAACTCTGTGTATTTCATCTATAATACAATTTTGGAGTTCTTCTAAATTATGTGGTCTGTTAACGTACACTTTGGACTTTAAGTAGCCCCATAAGAAATAGTCCAGGGGTGTAAGATCTGGGGATCTCGCGGGCCATTCTATCGGTACTCGTCTGCCGATCCACCTCCTAGGAAAACAATTGTCCAGAGAATCTCAAACAGGGCGCGCATAGTGCGGAGGTGCACCGTCTTGCTGAAACCATATGGTGTCATCAGGAATATCAGGGTCATTATCGTTAGGAAAAATTACTGCAAGCGCTGGAATAAGGTCATTTTGTAAAAACTCTAAATATCTTTCTCCTGTAAGGGTTCCTTCAAAGAAGAAAGGCCCTACTATTCTGTTGTCAACTATTCCACCCCACACATTTAATTTCTGTGGGTGTTGGGTATGTGTCTCTGCCATCCAATGAGGATTTTCCCGACTCCAACACTTGCAAGTTTGACGGTTCACTGTACCGTTGAGACAAAACGTGGCCTCGTCTGAAAAAAGTATTTGCCGGTGTAAATCTCTATTTACTTGACATAATTCCATCATAATTTCAAAAAAGTGTAAGCGGCGGTCCGGATCGTCTTCATTGAGTTCCTGCATAAGTTGAATTCTGTAGGGATGATATTTTTCCTGCCTCAGGATACGTAGCACTATGGTCTGACCAATTTCATTGTTTAATGCAACCAATCGTGAAGTATTATGAGGATTATCTACCATAGTTATCAAAATGTTCTGTTTGTGATCTTCACTAACGCTTGGACCTCCAGGTTTTGGAATATCTACAACATTGCCAGTTTTTCTAAATTTAGATTCTATCTTACTGACTGTTGATTGGCTGATACGGCGATATGGATGTTCTTCATTAAATAAATCGCAAACTTCCCGCTGCGTTTTAGTCTTATCCCCGCATCCGATAAGAATTAAAATTTCAATTCTTTGTGTGACAGTTAAATGTGCCGTAATATTTTAAATTCAACAATAATTTTTATATCGCTTACAATACTTAGAAAGTCGGTATGACAGTGACACTTTGTAAAGATTTACACCTGCGTTATCCATAAAAAACTTCAGGCATTTCGAAAAACCAAGTTTGATAACGTTTTTGCTTTATTTTAATCGATTTGGGTTTTCTAACATTCAATCGTCATTTACTCGAAAACTTTCCTATGTAAGATGGCAACATTTGAATACTGTCGGATCGACAATGAAACGATCTTTCAGTATCAAGAAAAAAATAGGTGGTTGCTGTTTAAAAAAAATGTCGATGAAGTCATTACTCGAAAACAAATGACGGTTGAAAATCGCCTTTGATGCCAAAATATGTATTTTTTAAATTAAAAATCGACCCGTTCGAGGATTTTTCCTAAAAAAATTTATTTCGTTTTTACTGAATTTATTCCATACTTTAGGCACGTACTGTATAACTAAAAACATAAGAAATTATGTTTTATTTACGTACTTTTGTATGCTTATAATATTGAAGAACGTAAGACTGTTTTGTGTATTTTGATCTATACTTTTACATACGTCACTTATACCGGCCGGACATCGTGTGCTGATAACATTTGAACAAAAACAAGAAAGTAGTTTCAAGATCGCAGTAAGCGGATGTCAACTGAGTCAATATGTAACATTCACTTGTTTCAATTATCCAGTTCGACATCCGCCTACTACTGAACGGAATAAAGTAAGACTCGATCGAGCTATTTGAGCTGTCGGAAACAGACCATCAATACTAAGGAGTAAAATGTAATAGAGAGCATTCTTACCTAGCTGAATGGTATGGCTGTTGTGTAAAATTCTCACCATATCCCACAACGTAACTTCTACCGGTGGCTCCTAAAATGTAATCGATCTGTTCTTTGGCAAATGTCGTGTACTTTTCAGACGGCATGTCGGGCAAGTCCGATGCCTGAAAAACAAAGCGCAAATTTTAGAATCGTTAAATAATTAAATGTTAAATTGTTACGCAACCTACTATTAAACACAGGAAGGCTATGTTGGCAGCATGCGGCAGGGTGCCAGATTTATGGATAAATATCAGACCTTCGGGAGTTCGTAACTGAGTATCGACGGAGTTGTCACAGAAACTTTTTATAGGCTCTATATACTCAGAAGATCCAGTTGACTCTGCTAACAAGACCTAAAACAAATGAGGTTTATTATTAATAAGGATAGAATGGGCCTACTGTGAGGATACAAAAAATTTAGATAAAATTTGGGACACGTTGTTTTAAATGGGATGAGGTAAGCGCCATTTTCAATAGAAAGTATTATCTTTGGGATTTGACAGAAACGACTAATGACGTCGTGAATTATATTTTTTCCAGAAACATCCCCAAATTTTTTTCTGCCTTTTTTTTCGTAGATCTCTCCTGAATTCGACACTTCGTTTCGACACGCCCATTTCTTGGGTCCAGAAGTTTCTGATAATTAATTAAAGTATTACTCACAAAAAAATCAAGAAGAGCTGTAGATCGAGAAAGGTGTAACCTGAGGGGTTATTTCTTTCAGTTTTTTAATTGTAGCTCGAAAACGAAGCAAAATTTCTTTATAGTTCATAGGAAAAACTATTTAGAGGATTGAATTTCCCATGGAAATAGCTTATTTAAAAAATTTAAAGGAAAATTTTATGCAAAATAATCGTTAATAAACAATTTGGAAAAAGGCAAAAAATTCGATTTTCAGATTTTTTTACTTTTTTGCCTCTAGTTTTCTTTGAGTAAAGATAGCTATAGGCATCGCTTCATAGAGAAAAAAAGTAGATAAAATTTCCTTCAAAACAAGAGGCTGTAGAGTATTTTTGGATGAAAATGGACTGATATGGCCGCTCAAATTTAGCCAATTTTTCGATTTTCGTCGCATTTACCCTTATACGTTTTAATTCTCATTTTTTGCAAATAAGGAAGGAAATAAGACGTTCAAGGATTTTCATCACATGACTTGTTCGAAGGGTCATTAAAAATGAAAAAACCGCGGGGTGCTATTAAATTAGAGGGTTGAAATTGAAGATAGGGATGAAAATGCACTTTTGCAGTATTTTAAATATAGCACGAAAACGAAGCAAAATTTCGGTTTGGTTCATAGGAAAAATTTTGTAGATTATTAAATTTCTCATCGAAACGGCTTATTTAAAAAATGTAAAAGGAAAATTTTATGCAAAAAATCGTTAATAAACAATTTTAAAGAAAGCAAAGAATAAGATTTTATTTTGTTTACTTTTTTAGTAAAATAATTTAGTAAAGACTTGAGAATTTAAGTACAATAAAGTTTATTAATAATGTATATACATTGTGTCCACCGATGGAGTTGACAAAAGGAGAAACTCTTGTTTTTGACTTTATCGAAAAATTTCACTTGTTATAAAAAGTTCTGCCCCTAGAAAAATAGACCTGGGTCGATAATTTTTGAAACCAAAAAAAATTATAGTAGGATGAAACCCATTGGAAAAGAAAGATAATATAACAGAAATGAAAGGAAAAATAATTTACGGGCGATCTGAGGTCGGGAAGGGGTAGAGGGTGAGTTTTTAATGGTAAAAAACGGTTTCCAGAAAAACTACAAGTCTTATGGAAAAAAGTTAAATGACAAAGTTGTAGGTAATAAGAAGATCTACAACTTTTATATTTACACTTTTTTCACATAACCTTAAAATTTATGCGAAAAATTCAAATAACCAAGTTTTTGGTTTTTTATTTCTTTTACAAAAGAAAAAAAATTTTCACGAAATATGGTGAAAACTTACCTATTTATGTCCCAAACACGCTGTAATTTTTTTGATTTGAAATATTTATTTGTTCACCTTATTTTTATTTAATATCGAAAAAGCACTCTAATTTTCAATCGAAAATTCTCACGTCAAAATATCTGTTTTTTTAAAAACGTCGGTGGGCTTTTTCTTCGTTAAAATCTCTACTTTCTGATGGTGTAAAAAAAATATACATTACTATGGTAAGTTTTCTCAGGAAATGCAAAGAAACGAAAGAAGATTCTACAACTTTCTCAAAATATTGTAGATGTCTTATTAAATATTAACTTTATTAACTTATTTGGTTGTTAATTATAATAGTATATTTCGACTTGTAATTTTTTTGTTTATCAATGTAACATGGAATCTTACGTTTTTCGAGTAATTAAAGTGTAAATTTTAATAAATAGCTCAAAATTGTACATAATGATTAGAAAAAAATTTTCGGATTCTAGTTCGTTTCTTTGCATTTCCTGAGAAAACTTACCATAGTAATGTATATATTTTTTTACACCATCAGAAAGTAGAGATTTCAACGAAGAAAAAGCCCACCGACGTTTTTAAAAAAGCAGATATTTTGACGTGAGAATTTTCGATTGAAAATTAGGGTGCTTTTTCGATATTAAGTAAAAATAAGGTGAAAAAATAAATATTTCAAATCAAAAAAATTACAGCGTGTTTGGGACATAAATAGGTAAGTTTTCACCAAATTTCGTGAAAAAAAAAAAAAAAAAAATTGTTTGTATAAGATAAAAATAAAAAACCATAAATTTGGTTATTTGAATTTTTCAAATAAATTTTGAGGTTATGTGAAAAAAGTGTAAATACAAAAGTTGTAGATCTTTTTATTACCTACAACTTTGCTAATTAACTTTTTTCCATAAGACTTGTAGTTTTTCCGAAAATCAAGATAAACCGTTTTTTACCCTTAAAAACTCACCCCTTCCCCCTTCCCGACCTCAAATCGCCCGTAAATTATTTTTCTTTTCATTTCTGTTATATTCTTTTCCTTTTCCAATGGGTTTCATCCTACTATATATTTTTTTCACTTTTTACTATTTTTGAAGGCTTAAGCACTGGTCTAAAAATGAGACTGTCATACAAAAATCTTAGATTAGATATACAGGGTGCTCATAAATTAAAAAAAAACACGAAAATACTCAAGAGAGAAGTACCATTATTTATTATTTTACACATTTTTATAGAACAAATATGTTTATAACCTCAAATAATGTCTTAATACAAATTTTAAAATCAAAATTTTAATATTTGAGGTGGGAAGTAGCTATATAACGAGCGTTCAAATAAAAACGTGGTCAAGTTGGTTCTGAAAATTTGGACGTAGGGCGTAGCGTATAGCAAATGAACTTAAACGTCATCTGTCAAAGCGCTATATCGCCGCTATCAATTTGAATATTTTCGTTTTAAAAAGCGTTTAAAATGGTGTTTTCTCAAGAACAAAAAGTGTTTATCATAGAGTCCTACTTTAGAAATGGACGCAAGATTGATGGAATATGGAAGTATTCTATTGAGGAATGTTTCATAGAATTTCAAAATCAATTTCCCGGCGTTGTTGAGTACAAAATTTTTCAAAGTGCAGTTCAGCGTTGTGTTAATGTTTTTCGTGAAACGGGCAGTGTAACAAGAAAAGAAGGAAGCGGCCGACCTAAAAAGCGGACTGAAGAATTAAAAGAAAATGTCCAACAAATAATGGAAAATGCNACAAAAAATTTACAATTTTTGCAGTCCGGACCTGGATTTTTTTGCTGTCATACATGCATACATGAAGTATCGTGAGTGCATTAACCCTACCAAATATGAACCCATTATTCCATTCCCTACCAAAGTTATGACATAAAGCAGTTTTGACCAAAAATCATAAATCACCCTGTATCACAATAAAGAATGGCCAAGGATCTATTTCTATAGTTACCTTAGATATCCTCTATCTCCCATTAAGCTAGGTCCCTCTCGTGATGCAACACCCTGTATATAAAGCCATATAACTTTTATTTATTATTGATAAATTAATTTAACATACGTCTTTATTAAATAAAAATGAATTACATACTCAAAAATAAGTAATAAAACAATATTGTCATAAATTCAGTAAAAACCGAAAAAAAGGCAAAGTTGAACGATCATAAGTCAGTCTATTTTCATCGAAAAACTTTTATAACCCATCATTTTGTAGGAAATTTTATATACTTTTCTTTCTATGAAGCAATGCCTATACCTATCTCTGCTCAGAAAAGTTATTTGCATAAAATTAAAAAAACAAGAAAATAGAATTTTTTGCATTTTTTGTTAAATTGTTTTTAATATATTTTGCAGTAAATAAATTTTTTAAATAAGCTATTTCGATAGAAAATCTCACTATCTACAAAATTGTTCCTATGCGATACCCTCAAATTTTGCTTCGTTTTCCAGATATACTCAAAAAACCGTAAGTGTTGCATTTTCACCCCTATCTTCAATTTCCACCCTCTCATTTAATAGCACTCCGCGGTTTTTTCTTTCTGAATAACCATTTGAACGAATCATGCAATAATCAATAGCCTATAACCAGTACACTTGTACTCTCCAAATTAAATGTTAAAAGCATTTCTTTATTTATTGTAATAATTTTGTTTTGTAAATATTTCGTTTATCTTTCTATCTCCATTCCAATTTCTCTTATGTATACCAAAGAAATACTTGTTCTAGGATTTTGTCCAGTGTTGTTAGATAAACATTTTTATTTTCATCAAAAAAAATTCTTTTTGCGTGGATGTGTACGTAATGAAAAATATTGGCCACAATTACTTTAACAATACATTCATTTAAACGTAATAATAGTTAATACCTGTATTCCAACGGTTTGTTTCTTATAAAAAAATTTGTTGGGCACTTCCTTGGACACGTTGAATTCCTGGTAGTATTTCTGGGCGTCTCCCAGATAAACGGGGTTCTTGGTGGCCTTGTAAAGCCACGCCGCCGCCCAAGTGAGTTCGTCACCGAAAGAAGTGGATCTGCAGGTGCAACTCCTTTTAATCAAACAAAATAACAGAATTCTAAGAAATTAATTAAAATAATGTAAAATTTATTTAATAAATATGTATTATTATTAACTATTGCGTCAAAAAACTATAAATACAATTCATTTATTGCAAACACGTAAATTTATGTCCCATCTCCTTTTGAACTTTCAAAATCGATTTAAATCTTCAATCCAGTCAAGAAGCGGGATATTTTTTGTTTTCTTTAAATTTTCTCCAATAGTCTGGTCAAAATAGACATTTCAAATAACGAAAATTCCGAGAGAGCTAAATTTTGGTGGAGACCTTGGGTACGCCATTAGAAATAAAGTGTCAAAAGTCCCCATCGATCCCATCTGTGCTAAAAATGTTATTCGAGGTCAAAGGTCAAAATTTGAGGTTTTTTGATTTTTTTCGAAAACGGTAAGTTTTCTCAAAAAGTAGTCCCGACAAAAATTATAGACCTTAAAATTATCTACAAAAATGGTCTTTATACTGTTTTTCTAAGAATCACCATTCCTGAGATTTCGTGATTCTAAAACTTGAAGGAGTCACGTGCTACATGATATGCACACATTTCCACACCATCTGAGGTAGTGTACTTTGGCGGTTTTTTTTTAACGTGGTTTCTCCAGTAGGCCTACTCCCCGAACTGTTATGACGGAATTTTCAGGGACAATACTCTTTTAACTGTATGATGATTATTGATATAGATATTGCCCAACCAGCAAAACAGTTTTATAATTTTCAAGTTATACGACAATTATGTTTTATTGTATTATTATTATTATTGCTTTCGAAATGCAAATTTGTTTTATTATAGCGGCAAGTACCATTATTTTATTGTCGGCAACTGAAATATTTTATAAATTTATCACAAGAACGTTTTGGCAGATAAATTATAAAACAGTTTATATGGAAAATGTATAACTATTTTATAAACATTTCTGTGACAAGCTTATAAAACATTTTAGCTAATGAAACTAAAGTATTTTATAATAATTTTTTAGTAATGTTCCTTAGTATTTCGAACAGCGCTATAAATAAATAATATAATTGTTTATTAGATGTGGGTTGTCTACCTATAAAACTATTATATTAAAAGATACTTTGACACTTATAAGAGCAAATAGCTATATTATTCACTATAATATAGTTATTATGTAATGATATTATCAATTGTAAAACAAAAATACTAATATAACAGCTACAAGAGAAAAACGTTTAGTTTGACTCAAAATTACATCGACAAACCATTCTATAAAACAAATTTGAAACAGCAAAATGGTGGGACATTGTTTTGTTTGTGTCAATAGCGAACGGTAAAAGTCTGTTTTATATTTTGCTTCAGCTTTCACAGTCGTTGTTTAAAATTAATCATGTCAGGTTTAAGTCAGTGGAAAAAAATCAAAAGAAGTGGCGCATTTAGAAGAAAAGTAAAGAAATGTTATCAAAACATTTTATCTGGAGACAGGAACAATGACCGTCGCGCACAGGTGCATGAAACAAGTAGTCTATCAGTTCAAGAAACATTCAGTGATGATAATTGTGCTATTCTTAGTAACTATGCTTCATTGGAAGTGGAAAATCAAAGAAACACTATCAATAATAGTACCGTATTAGAAATAACACAATAGCCAAGTGATGGCGAAGAAGTAAGAAATAAATGGTTGGTGGAACTAGATGATTCTCACGGAGATAAACTTTTGGGATAATCGAATTTGGACAAGAACGTAGATTTTCGAAACAAACTGAGATCATGGGGTGTTTCTTTTAATATCCCACATTCGGCACTAAAAGTTTTTATTTTTAGTTAACTTTCATTGTTTTATAGAAATCGCTCAATTAGCTTACTTGTCATTTAAAACTGGTTCTTACAACCAAATTATTTTATAAGTCGCAGCCATTTTGACACAATGCTGAAAAATATTGTGGCGTATAACTATAAAAATATCACAAATTTAGCCGTGTTCCTAATATTAAATAGCACTACAAAAACAATGATGAACAGTTAAGATGATTCTAATGCTTTTGGTGCTAGATTCAACGTCAAAAAACCATGACATTTCAAAAAACCTTTTTATTTTTAATTATAATAATATTGGAAATAATCACTTAATACGCGGCGCATGTAAAATTCACTAGATATATACCATACAAATCACAATAAAATTTTCTCCGCAGTAAAAATTGTTTTTCCAAAGTGCACTAAAACGCGTAAAATAATATTGAGTAGGTACTTATTACACCACATAACATTCCGGTTGCGGACATTGTGATTAAATAGAGATGTTTGTTAAGTGTATATCTTCTGATACCTTCACGATACAGTTAATAAATAATTTACTTTTGTTGATAGATCTAATCCTACAAAAATGTCGTATTATTGCTACTAAAGATCCCAAAATAGATCCCTTATAAAATTGTTGTTCAGATGATTTGTTGCTATTATATACCTCACAATATAATCTGCTTGATGACCCAGTTATAAAACCTTTAAGAAACTATTTTATTAAAGTATTGGCATATCTTTATAAGACCTGTATAAACGTTTATATGACTATTTTTTAATTGTTTCCAACAGGCCTTACAAAACCTCAACGGTGACTAAAGTGCTTTATAATACTGTGCCCATTTTGGTTGTATAGTTGCTGTATAAACATTCTTACAATGTTTTTGAGACTTATGCTGTTTTATAAAATTTGTCTCGAAAATGTTTTTGCAGCTTTTATAAAATATCAAATTGCTAGTTGGGTGGTTATTGACTTTAACTGTAGCTCTGATTTCTTTTGATATTTTAATCTGATTCATACTCTTCAAAGTCGACTTCAACAGTCATGTCTTCTTCGATTTCTTCTTCTTCTTCTTCTTCCTCTTCTTTTTGCTGGATGTTCATAAATTGTTCAAATGAAAATGAATCAGCTGTCTCTTCATCGAAATCACTTGAATCTTCGTCTGTTGTATTCAATTGGACATTTGAGCAAGACTAACTTTGGCAATTAGTACACGCTAGACACAGTAACCCTACTCTTCTACAGCCACATTTAGCATTACAACCTTTTTTGCAATTGCAAAAAATAGTGTTTAAGAGTTTTTCCGGAGCAGGTGGGAGTAAAGTTTGAATTGGTTCCAAAGTATTATCTGTTAATTTCCAACCCCAGTCTTCTGGGTTCAATTGATTGCCTAGCCATGTCGGAGCTTGATAGTATACTCAATACAAGTGTTGATTAGCAGAAAAGCCGATGTTGGAGGAAGACAAGATAGTTGTACTTGTTTCTTGTTTCGTGTATTTTTTACAAAAGTTTTTACAATAGAGTGGCCAGATGTTATTCAAGGGCATGCGGGTAGAGGGGATTGACTAAGGGACTGAGTTTCTTTTGAGTGTATATTATCAGAATACTATAGTTTATACATATAAGAGACAGAAATAGGCATTTTTTCTTGCATTAAGTGCCTGACTACGTATACGTACATATCCTGTAGAACGTGACTCCTTCAAGTTTTAGAAACGCGATAACTCAGGAATGGTGATTCTTAGAAAAAAAAACTATAATGACCATTTTTGTAGATAATTTTAAGATCTCTAATTTTTGTCAGGGTTACTTTTTTAGTAAAACTTACCGTTTTCGAGAAAAATCCAAAAAAAACCCAAATTTTGACCTTTGGCCCCGAATAACTTTTTTAGCACACATGGGATAGATGGGGACTTTTGTCACTTTATTTCTAATGGTGTACTCAAGGTCTCCATCAAAATTTAGCTCTGTCGGAATTTTCGTTAATCGACCACTATTTTTATGACTAATTCGACCGGACTACAATGAAATAATGATACTTACTCATAATACTGCTTTGCCCCTGGTATCACGTCCTGGGAGAGCCCCCTGTAGTTATTCGCGAAATCGTACAGTTCTATGGCGTGCCGCAACAATTCCCTGGAATAACTCTCGTTGNTTGTGTAAGGGACTGAGTTTCTTTTGAGTGTATATTCTCAGAATAGTATAGTTTATACATATAAGAGACACAAATAGGCATTTTTACTTGTATTAAGTGCCTGACTATGTGTATATGTGGCATATATGTGCATATCATGTAGAACGTGACCCCTTCAACTTTTAGAATCGCGATATCTCAGGAATGGTGATTCTTAGAAAAAAAACTATAAGGACCATTTTTGTAGATAATTTTAGGATCTCTAATTTTTGTCAGAGCTATTTGTTTAATAAAACTTACCATTTTCGAAAAAAATCCAAAAAACCCTAAATTTTGACCTTTGGCCCCGAATAACTTTTTTAGCACTATTTTTATTAATAATTTGACCGGACTACAATGAAATAATGATACTTACTCATAATACTGCTTTGCCCCTGGTATCACGTCCTGGGAGAGCCCCCTATAGTTATTCGCGAAATCGTACAGTTCTATGGCGTGCCGCAACAATTCCCTGGAATAACTCTCGTTGACGTTCCTAAACACTATACTGGCCGAAGAAAACAAAGCTGAAGCTTCGCCTGCTAGATCAGTACCTGCAAGGAAGAATGAATGAAGAACAATTCGCATTTCGGATGTTCTTTTCTGGTACCTGGATGGGTTTCGTCGATTTTGAAGGCGGGTCTGTTCATGTTCATCTCTTCGGGTCTTCCCCAGAAGGCGTGGTCCAGGGGGAAGTTGCCCACTTGGCCGTAGAGCTCGTTTTTGCTAACGTGGCACTTGATGAAGTAGTCTGTTGACCATTTTATAGCGTCCAGGACCTCGGTGTATTGGTCTAAGATATTTATAGTTATTTAGGGATCAAGATCAGAAAGTAATACTTTACAGGAACAGGTTTGAGGACGACGCTGAAGGCGAAGTCCTGAAAAGCAGGAGAGCTCTGTAAATACACTTTCTGAGCGTGGTGCGTACAATACTTTTTGTGCTGCCGCCAATAATTTATACTCCAGTCGAATTAGATCACAAAATCTGAACACTTGAAAAAATTATTGCATCCTTTCCTTAATTGTCTCTAAAATCCCGGTCCGATACGTCCAATAGTTAATTAACAATTAAAATTAAAAAAAAAAGTTATTCTGGGAACAAAAAGTCATAGGTGATTTCTCTCTTTTTTAAATTACTGTAAAAATAAACTCTATTTAATGCAAAAAGAGCGAATTCCCGAGCGGCATTTGCCTGCGCGTTTAGTAATTAAAAAATTGTTGCAAAAAACATTCAAATCGTTCTTTGTCACACATGTTGGTCTTTGGAATGACCGTCTTTCCCATAAATTTCATCAACATCCATCGCTTTTTGCAATAATAAAGGTCAATTTTCGAAAACTGATTTTTCAGCCATGAAAATTGAATAATTCCAAATATTTCGAATTTTCACCACCAAGAACGGCGGTGACAACATTTTTAACAGTTGTGTTTCGCATTGTATTAGCTATGTCCTGTCAAAATTTGGTTAGTGCATCTTTCTCGGTTTCGAAAATTCATAGGCCAGGAAAAAGAGCTGGGAAATTACCATTTCGCGACTTTTTATATCGGCAAGCTAAATTTATCACTATAGATGCTAAATATTATGTACAATAACATATTAGTTTCCACAGACATAAAAATGGGGGGAAGATTGTTTACAGGCTGGTTAATTGCATAATTTTTACGTAAATTCACGTTTTCCGCTTATAACTTTTTTCCGTTTATTTCCACGAGAAAACAGGAATGTACTTTTTTCTTCGTCTTCAAAAGTCCTACAAAACTAGCCCTCGAGCGTCAAAAAATATTGGATTTTTATTTAAAACTAAAATGTATGGAAATATGGAAGAAAAAAGTGGTTAAAATTTACCAAACAACGATATGAGAGCAGACAAGTCTATGTAATAGGCCTTTCTAGTTGTTTGCCGGTGTTTTATGTTTTATTTTTCATATTTTTCCCAAATGTAGACCGTTTTATTGAAATAATCAGTCTTTTAGGTAATTACCATATTCCTATTTATTTTTTTTTAAGTAAAAAGCAGTTATTTTAATAAAAAAACATACCTGCTGCCTGATAAGCGTCCTTGTATTTAATGACCCCCCATGACAAAATTGTGGTGGCAAATGCCATGGTGAATCCGAATTTGACGAAGTCGCTTCCTGAAAAACATAACAATCAGTCATTTCTACACCAACGATAAGTCGATTGTTTCGCGTCTAGTAAGATATTAGAAATACGAAGCAATTTCAAAATATCTACATTGTTTGTTTTTAAACAAATGTTTTTTTATAACACAGACAAGTTTGTTTGTAAACTTTGCGATGAAATTAATATTTCCTTATGACCGCAGACGAAACAACTAGATTATAACCGACACAATTTTAGAATACCTAAATTGATTTTAAAATGAAACTATATCAAAATTAACCCTAAAAGTAAACAATTTTCTGTTTACAGCTGTAACAGACCTGACATCTTGTGATAACACTGATAAGAAGATAAAGATCGAAAGATAAATCAGAATACTTATTAATTAACTCCACTGAAGATGATATTTACGTTCTAAACTGTCAATATCATATTGAAAATAAGTGTCGACATCTTCCTTACCATCGTAATACCCTCCAGTAAGGTCTTCGCCATTCACACCCCTATCATTCAAAGCAGAATCCCCCCTCCACTTGATCCTGTTGTTGCTGGGCAATTTTCCAGACCTTTGCGCCTCGTAGAACAGCAAGGACAACTTCAAAGCTTCTTTATAATCAGCCACGAACTCCCCTTTTTCCTCACATGAGCATTCCTGGTTAAAAGCCAACAAGGAAACTAGTATCGGGAAGACGAATTGGATCTTGCTCATCTGAAATCGAAGAAAATTATGTAACGTTTTCTCCATACACTGGTCCGGCAAATCGACCTTGTATATATTGAAATGGTTGTAAATTGTAAAAGTATCTAATATTTCCAGTCGTCATTTCTTCCCGGATATTTAGCGGCAGTCCGAGCTATCGAGGCGGATCATAAAAATATTTACGTGTCTCTTTTAAATACCAATTTTAACATTGCGCGATACTGGGAATGCGATGAATGCACTGGAGGAATAGAACCGTGATCTGAATTTACAAGTAGCACATATGAGAACCGAACGCAAGAGACTTTGTTATTTTTAGCTTACCAGGTTCAAAAAACATTTGAATTGGTTTGTATGTTTTCGTCAAACTTCTAATTCGACTGTATTTTGCATGGAATGTACCATAGACGTAACAACATCAATAATATACAGGGTGATTCATTAACAATGGGAAAGTCGAAAGCTGAAGATACTAGATTCTTTGTAATCTATATCTTTCATTCGAGACCAAATAGAAAATTCAAGAGGATTGAAGTCCCGACTTCTGGATGGACAAGCAAAAATGCTTACATAGCCAATCGAGCGATTTGGAAAAACTGCATCTAAATATGCACGCACTGGCCAAGAAAAATGCGGTGGAGCTCCGTCGTGCATGAACCACATGTCTCTTCTTAAATAAAGTGGAACTTCTTCAAGCCGTGGAAGCATTTTTACTTGGCCACCCAGAAGTCCGGACTTCAATCCTCTTCATTTTTCTATTTGGAAGAATCTATTGGTTCGTGTGAAGAGTTGTGGCAAAGAATACAAATCGCTGCCAACGAAGTCAAACGCAATCCCAATATGTTGTTTCAAACTCGAAGATCTCTCAGAAAACGTTGTGTAAAGTGTGTAAATGTCAACGGTGGATTCTTCGAACACTGACTTTAAATCATTATTACGAATTTCATTTGTTTTATTGTTAATTGTTGTAATAACACGAAGAAACACTTGGTTTGTTTCGCTTTTAATTTCTCGTATTATCAAAACATAGTGTTCGTTAAATCGATTTTTCTCGAAAACGGATCGAGATACCGAAATGAAACAAGAATACACAATTAATGGAAAAATGATTGCTCTTTCAGGTTTTGAATCAAGTTTCATGTTAGACATACAGGGTAAAAAGTTATTAACTAAATTTTCGGTAAAATTGGTCGTAAGTGGCGCCCTCTATGAGCAATGCTGAAATTACAACACGCATCTTATTCGTCGCCTAAAAAAATATAGTTTCACAAATTTTCAAGTTCCTAACCTACATATTTTCAGAATAATCGCAAAAAAACGATTTAAAATTTTAACTTTCAACACCCTGTATTTCCGAAACTATCAACTTTCGGATAAGGCATGTTTGCGCCAATGGTCACCGTTTCACGTGTAGTATCTTCAGCTTTCGATTTTCCCATTGTTAATGAATCACCCTGTATTGCATACCAGCGGACAAGAGTGCATTTATTAATCCCAAGGGATAAAAACGAACCTTAATTGCGTTTTTTTTTTTAATTCGTAAATTTTTATTCTTAAGAGATTGAGAAGTATTTAGTCACGTGACGCAAATGTAATTTTTGGCAGATCGCGACTAAAGTGCATATTTTATTCATTTGAGAAGAAAAGCACTATTGTGGAAATGCAATTTTCGTACACCAAGGAACTAAAGCTGCATCTTGCATGACTAAAGGATAGAAGGTCACTTTAATATTCCGATGTAAACGCTACATTTTGTAGTCCCTGACTAGAAATAACTAAAATTAAGGATATGAAGTACACTAAGAAGCTAAAGTGCATCATTTAATCCCAAAAGATCAAATAGCACGTTGTTTTTTTTTGTAAAACGTGACTTGAAATAATTAAAATTAACAATATATTGTGCGTTAAATGACTAAGGTGCATTTTTGTTCTTTGATTGAGAAGCACTTTAGTCATGTGGTGCAACTAAATCTTTGGCAAATCGTGACTAAAGCGCATCTTTTACAGGCAAGGGAATCAAAAACACTTTAGTTCAGTGCTATAAATGTTATCTCTTTAGTTCACCGCTCGATGTAAATAAAATTACGATAATATTGTACGGTAACTGACTAAAGTGCACTTCGTTTTCTCAAGGAATTGAGAAGCACTAGTTTTGCAGTTCAAGTGCAATATTTTGTAAATCATGGCTTGAAACAACAAAAATTTGTAAAATATATCGTACACCAACGAACTAAAGTGGATAGTTTAGTCCCATCAAAAAGCACTTTAGTCATGTTTTAGACGTATTGTAGATTGACAATTTTGTGCAATTTATGACTTGCAATAATTAAAATTAGTATATTGTGACTAAAGTGCAACCCCTATTCTCAAGGCTTGCGGAATAAGCTAGTTTTGAGGTGCAAATATTTTACAGATTGTAAGTTCAATTTTTTTAGTAACTAGAGTGTGTAAAGTATGTACACTTTAGACTTGATTTTTGCTTTCCTAGACTTGAATTAACGAAAATTTACAATACATCAAAGCACTAAAGTGTACCTTTTAATGAAATTTTTCTGTCGATGCACTTTAGTTAGAGTTAAATATGCAGTTTAACTCTTCGTAACAAGAAATACCATAACTATTTAAATTGAATTTTATGTACGCTTTTTTTCACACTTTAATCATCCCAAATAGAAACTAAAACGGAAACTGGTCATCGTGGTGACACTCCCAGAGCTGTAAAGACTCGACGCCTATGCTCTAATTGATCGACTAACAATAGACTAAAAATAAAATTCGTCAGATGAAACACCACATTATAGGATTCTCCATTCGTAAGCTATGAAGACATTACCTTAATCTCTATATGTCGCAGGTGTTATTTCTAGGAGCAGAAACATTACAAGGTTAAAGTAGTTAGAAGTTTTTTTTTATTATTTATTTATGTACCAACGAGTAATTTTTTACATTCGAATCGATATGACTCGTATGCCATGAATATTAAGTCGGGGAAACTGGTACAAACCGAGAATATATCTGGGACATTTTAATAAATTTCAGGCGGACGTATTAGTGAACCTGAAGCGTACAGGGTGGTGCATTCATTGGAGAGCCAGTGGCGTGTAAAAAAATATTACGGATTTTTTTGCAGTGCCGTTTTCCTCCAGTTTTCTCTTCTCTTGAAATTTGTAAATTGTTAGCTGTAGTAGAGTAGTTCAGACAACTTTGGGATAATTCTGTGAAAACAATTTACTATTGCATCGGAAATGAGTGCGTTTTACTCAAATCCGAGTTAATGCTAACTATCAATTGAGCGACTTTTGACTCTATACAGGGTGTCTCATTAATATTGCGGAAAAATTCAGGGGGAGTTTCCATGACCAAAAATAAGAAAGAATGTTCCTATAAACCTATGTCCGAAAATGCTTCGTTTCGGAGATACAGGGTGTTGAAATTTAGAGAAAATACAAGGTTTTTACTAATATCTGGAGAACCCTAATTCTGATTTTTTTGAAATTTGGTATGTTTGTTTACAAAAACGGTAGACGTCTTCTGACGTAATTTGATTTATTTTATCTACTCCAGCGGCGTCCGGGGACTCACTCCTGTTGATATTAATAAGTAAACATATGAGACGTCACTGCTTTTTCTTAGGTGTCATATGTTTTTCTAATTATGCGATAACAAATACAACTTTTTTATCTCTTTACTTTTTTGATATCTTGCTTCGTTTTTGAGCAAAAAATTAATAGCTTAAGTGTGTGATTTTAATAAGTACTTGAACTGTGTAGTTGTCAATTTCTGCTTGTCGTTACACAAATAGTGAAATGTGCGATATGCATTTTCTTTATGCCTCGCTAACGGTAATGCATTAGCCGCCATGAAATACCCTAATCGTATAATTCCTCATCATACTATCTTCACCCTTCTTCATCAACGTCTTAGTGAAACTGGAAGTTTTCGAAAACTTACCGCAGGAAACGGGCGACCCCGCACAGCAATAACCCTACAATTGGAGGAAGATGTACTTCATGAAATTGAAGACACTCCAACAACAAGTACCAGACAGATTGCTAAAAACTTAAATGCAAGTCGTTCTACAATTTTCAGGATTTTAAAAAATAATCTTCTGTACCCTTATCACATCCAACGGGTTCAGGTCCTTTTACCGACTGATTTTAAGATTAGATTTATGTCAATGGATACGACAAAAAATTGGGGAAAATCCTCAATTTTTAGCATAGGTACTATTCAGGGATGAGGCGAATTTTTCTAGAAAAGCCATAATGAACTTTCATAATAATCATGTATGGGCGGATGAGAACCCAAATGCAATATTAGAAGGCCGTCATCAACACCAGTTTTCACTTAACGTGTGGGTCGGAATTGTGGGAGACCACTTAATAAGCCTATTTTTTACCACCGAGGCTTACTGGAGATGTTTATCGCCGTTTTCTTGAGGATGAATTGCCCGTATTTTTGGAGGACATCCCATTGCCATTAAGGTTGCAAATGTATTTTATGCACGATGGTGCTCCACCCCATTTCAGTTTAGCTGCACGTGAATATTTGGACAATATCTACCCAAATCGCTGGATAGGTCGAGGAGGCACTCAACCCTGGCCCCAGAGGTCTCCCGACTTAAATTCGTTGGATTTTTTCCTTTGGGGTCACCTCAAACATTTGTTTTATACGACTCCAGTGCAAACCATAGACGAATTAAGAAACCGCATTGTCGCATCCTGTGAAACAATTAGACACACAACCGGAATATTTGAACGGGTTCGCCAATCAATGTGTCGTAGGATAGATGCCTGTATTGGAGTTGAAGGTGCACATTTTCAACAACTGTTGTAACGCCTGTGTATGTGAAGTATTTTTCATATCATTGCTGTTTATTAAATAATTTTTCTTATGTTTCTGTTAATATTAATTATTTAAAAAAATATTTAGTGAGTTATTGTTTCTCAGCTTGTTACATTGTTTTTCCTTCAAATTTAGTGTTAAAGTTGATTAGTAAATAACTAAAACATTGAATTTATATTTTTGTTTTCTACTTCCCTTAAGAATGTGCATATGAAAGGATATTAATTTTTTGCTCGAAAACGAAGCAAGATATCAAAAAAAGTAAAGAGACAAAAAAGTTGTACTTTTAATCGCATAATTAGAAAAAAATATGATACCTAAGAAAAAGCAGTGACGTCTCATATGTTTACTTATTAATATCAACAGGAGTGAGTCCCCGGATGCCGCTGGATAAAATAATTCAAATTACGTCAGAAGACGTCTACCGTTTTTATAAACAAACATACCAAATTTCAAAAAAATTGGAATTAGGCTTCTCCAGATATTAGTAAAAACCTTGTATTTTCTCTAAATTTCAACACCCTGTATCTCCGAAACGAAGCATTTTCGGACATAGGTTTATAGAAACATTCTTTCTTATTTTTGGTCAATGACACTCCCCCTGATTTTTTTCGCAATATTAATGGGACACCCAGTATAAAGCCAATTTAGAGTTGACTTTTTCTCTAATATGATTTAAATTTAACTATTATTGAGTCATTTTTTGGAATTGGAAAATATCATCCCCAATGAGTCATCCCCAATGAACACCTTGATGGCGAGACAGTCTGAATTCAAAATTTTGGTACGACCATCGCCTTTTCAAACCCCAAACACCGCTGTTCTGGTAATTATTACAATGCAAAAATTCCAACCATCAATGAAACGCGAATCGCTGGTTAGTATTCAAGCTAGGCCCATTGTATCCGTCGATACCAACTGCCACAATGGTAATTCAAGCCTACATTCATCAAATACGAAATCAGGTCCACCAGGACGCCAGCGCAGGTGGTGGTGGTGGTGGTGGTGGCGTGGCGAAAATTTGCATGCTCTGGTCTCGAGCAGATGAGGTGCGCTCGGAATACGAATATTTTTCGATAAAATCCAGTCTATCATCATGCAAATACGTTTCAGAGAACACATCTGTGAAAAATTCTGGCGTTGCTGCCGAGAAGCGATGGTACGTGAGAAAATTCAGATGTGCCGAGGGTAATCACATTAATTCCGATTAAGAATCGATCGTATTGAAAGCGAGTTGAATAATATGTGCATTATTTATTAAAACAAAACTACGAGTTGTACTGAAAGAAGAATATTTTCCTATGTAGGCGGATAATAATAATAATAATAACAATAATCGGAAATATTAACTTTCTTTATCTTCAAAAAATAATAAACGGCGACCAAAAGCTTCGTCCCTAACCTCTCCAAATAATTTTCTTATTCCTTCTCTTCTTAGCTTTCCTAACCAAGTCAGTAACATTCCTTTCCAACGCTCCATACAAGGTGTCACGTAACGAATGAATGTTATACAGGGTGTCCACACTTATCGGCGCACTATTGCTAACTCCGTTATTATTGGAGATACGAAATCGATTAAATTAGCAAACTAGTAGCATTTTTTCTATCGATTCTAATGGTGCAATGAGAAAAACAGTTGAGCACCGCGTTTTCGTACATATTTTAAAAGAAAAAATTATTGCGAACAAATANTTTTATCCATGCAATTGTTCTATAAATATCGTCATGGCTTACTAAGAAAAAAAACCGTGGTATGTATATTTATGCTACAAAAACTGTTGTGTGATTAATGTTCTATTTTTGACAAGCATTGCTTCGTAATCATTAAATTGTTAACAATTTTTTTTAGGTATACTATTTACTATTTATACAGTTGTATCAATACGTTTCTTACCTCAGACTTCTTCAGGTGATCACTTTTCAAAAAATCATGTCCCTTTCCTTTTCCAAAAACCTGTTCATCGGGCACTCATTTTAACTTGTTAGTGTGAAAAACAACACCGCACTTGGGTTGTATTGCGTCTACACGCACGAACAGTAATCCTTTCACTTTTGAACAGAGATGATGAATTAAGTGAATATGGTCATTTATATATATACACACTCACGTTGACGTGTAAATGCCGATGGCACCCCCTCCTCAACGCATATGTCTATAAACGAGACGCTTTTCCACTGATTCCTGTTAATATTTCATAAACATGACAATTTCTGAAAAATTTGTTTCAGGAAAGGTCAAATAATTTTTCGCTTGTGAGAATTCGTCTTAAGGAATAGCTAAATATAGTTATTAATTTTTTGACAGTGGCGCATCATTCGTTTTTCCAAAGGAGTTTTATGACGGTTTGTTTTTTCACGTACTTTCACGTAAAATAAAACAATGGGGCACAAAACTTGGACCGTATTTTTTATCACTGTATGAAATCGCAGTGGTAGCTCGTGACATTGTGAATAGGTGAGGCCCGTGGCTTTTTTAGTAGGTGGACAAGAAAAAAAAAGCACCGCTGGCAAAAATTTTCAAGGTCAAACGACTGGATCTGGAAATTTTTAGTTGCATTTACAATATTATAGAAAAACTGATGTTCACGAGTAGGATCATATTTTATTATGGGGATCTTCGCCAATAGCCCTGCTATAACCGTAAATGAAAAAATTATATTATTAATAATAATATCAGAACTTTAACAATTGTGTTTACAATAAAATTAAGTAACGGAAAAAAAACAAAGTGATATAATTACCTAATAATCTATTAATATACCTAATAATATCTATTTATATGCAGGGTGTTTCAGAAAGACCTCCCGTAAATTCAGGGGGTGATAGTACAACAAAAATTAAGTTTTTTTTGTCTTATGAAATTGTTTTCGAGGTACAGATCGACAAAATAAATTTTTTTTAAATAGAATTTTTACGAAAATTTCCAAACGGTGCGAAATATTTTTATGAGATTTGGTATTCCGGGGTTTTGAAAGACGCCAAATACGCTGGTCTTATTATTTTTTGTATATTTTATAGAGGGCGCTAGTTATGCTACATTCGTATTACATTTTGTTTTAATTTTTTTGAAGTTTGAAGTTTTTTTTCATTTCATTCGGGCTCCAATTTCTCATGTTCAATTTTATTTTCTAAAAATAATGTACTCTTGTTAGAACTTCCTAATGTGGACGGTTTTCGAGAAAACAGGCTTTTAATTGAACTCTTACAATATTACGAAAATAAGTGACTTTTCTCAAAGTAGGCTTATGTCAAGATTTATTGATGGATGTCTCATAAACAACGCACACATTCTCGGTAATATTTTAAACTCTAATTAACTTTATATCAAAATTTTAGTGACTGTAATTAGTCATTACTAACTATACAGTCACCACAGACAATATAGCGTATCGCTACAGACTGCTACTTAAATGCTGGAAATTGGCAACCCGAAATGGAAGCAGGGTCTCCTTNAAACATGTTTTTTAAAAAATTACCATCACACTGGTAAGCCTAGAAGCAATTCGCACACAAAAATAAGGAGCATCAGCTTCTTGCCCCGCTGAAAATTACGCAGACAGAAATACAAATGTTCGTGCGTCAACCAAGTGGCCTTTTTATTTTTCTTGTATCCTAAAAACGTCAAAAATTGTCAAAAAATAGCGGCGTCTGACGGATGCATTTTGCACCTTTATTTTGGGACACCCTGTACATAATTTTGATTTTCAACAAATTATTTGAGTTGCCAGTTTAACGATTTTCAAAGAATTTTTAAAACAAACTTAAAAACAAAAATATTTGTGCGCCGTTTTCGAGGAAATCGCAAAATATTATTGTGAAGCTCTTTGGATGGTAAATGAAAAAAAAAAAAAACAAAATTAAATGACTGGCTTTTTTAGCTTAATAAATGATTTGTTATCATCTACACAAAAGTGATATTATTCTTACAAACAAGTATGTTGTTTTTGTTTTTATAAATAAAAATACTTTTATTTTCTGTTCAAATAAATTCATAATTAGTGTCAAAGTTTACGTACACTTTGATTTTTCGCTTGTGTACAGTTTTCTAATTATACATAAATAGTAGGCTTCGTACACATTGCAGAAATAGCAAACATAAATTTTATGTACGGCCTTGCCAATGATAATGGTGATGCTCGTTATCTGTAGGTATACTGAGGTTTATTCTACTTGTCTAAATCTTTTTATTCGATATTCATTCACCAGGCTCCATTAGTGGCTTCGGAACAGTAAACGATTTGTTAAAAATTCTATCGACTCTGGAAGACCTAGGTCTGTTTTCGCATGCGAGGTAGAAGAGTAAATCTTGAAGTATATTTCTCGCCAAGTGTTTTTCCACTTCGTCCAAATTTAAAGAAGCAAGTAACATGATTGTAGGCAAAAGGGTGCAGTGGCATCTTCATCTTAAAATAAAAATCAAAGTTCACTATGCCTTAACCAATTTATTAGTCACAAGTTATTCTATTTTCAAGAATGACTTACATCCCCCAATTTTTTTCTAAAATTAATAATAACTTAAAAACACGTTTTGGTCTATAGTACCTTATATGAAATTAGTCTAGAATTTGCCGTAGAATTAAAAAATGCATAAATATACATAGTGTTCCATTTGAAGTAATAGAGATGACTTCCGGTATAACCGGAAGTTGACACTATTTTCATTGAATAGATCTTTTTGATAAACCCCTGTATACAAGTTTTCAGATTTCAATTCTGACTACTTTTTGAGATAATCCTACTGGGCCCTTTTCGTGATACACTCTGTATAGTACTGTTTTTCTTTGTCTTATTATAATAAACTAATTCGCAATGCAGTTCTTATGAAAAATTATATATCACCTTAAAATAATTGGAAATTCCCACACGCATATATTTACATTCCATTGTATTGTTTGTATTTAAAGACGTTTTTTTAAATTTTCCAATAATCGTTTTGGGAAAGCAGAATTTCGTCTGGTATTTTCCTTCCAGTAAACCGCACTGTTTAATTATCGATTTTTTGTTCGTTTACGTAAATTCTTTTGATTTGAGGCTGGACAAAAAGGTGTTTAAATTTAGTTTATTCAGGTCAGTCTTGGTATAAAAATTGTTGATGTAAAATACTTACGTTACCGTCCACAATTTTTTTCAGCTGTATCAACAAATTCCCTTTATAAAATCACCAACTCGCGGTTTAAAAAAAAGACACGTTGACTCACTTGTATTCGTCTTCGCGTACTGACGAACAATTACTGTGATAAACAATATAGATGTACATAAATAAATAATTATATAAACACAAATGAGTCGTCCAAATATTTTATTTCGAGGAATTCGTGATGTAACTGGTGTTTTTTAAAGCATGTTAAAATGTCGTTATGTGCTACTTATGCTAGACGAGTACATTACAATTTTGTCTGAAGGTGTTGTGGGAAGTTAATTATATAGTATATAAATTATGTTAATGCCAGTATAAAAGATAATTTGGTAATTCTGAAGGGATATTAAGCTTACGCGTCGAGTTGTACGAAAATTACCCAATTATATGAGGTGCCAAAAGGAAATTGTTAAAATTAGCTGTTTCGATTATTGTATGCTATACAGAATGTCCCAAAATAATAAACAAAAATTGGAATAAACAGGACTAATTACGAAAAGGGTTCAAATGTATGCTTCTTTGTAAGAAAGTTGTTAAAATAAAAGAGCCACACTTTGCTATACTCGTTTTATTCCCATTTAACAACTTGTTGAATATTTAATATCCAAACATTTTTGATATACAGGGTGTCCGCGTTTTTTGTAGCAGGACTTTCACAACTTGTACTAAAAAACCCTTTAAAAAAAAAGTTCATGTAAACATATACCATGTATAGATGCGTCGTTTTCGATTTTCAGTGTTCAAGTTTAAAATGAGAATTGATTTTTTATTCGTAAAACGAAAACCCCTTTTTAGACTTTGTTGAAACTTGGCAACTTTGTTTGTAATAATAATACTCATTTTCTCACATAATTTAATTTGTCCTATTTTCTCCAGTGGCGTCACAGCAAGATACCAGCTTGATAAAAATAGAAAAAAATATAGTACGCCACTGCTTTTTGGTAACTTACCAAAAAGCAGTAGCGTACCATATTTTTTTCTATTTTTATCAAGCTGGTATCTTGTTGTGACGCCACTGGACTTAACAAATCTAATCAATTTAGGGTTACATTAGCCCCTTAGCACTACAAATAACACCGCCAAATTACAACAAAATTGGGTAAAGGGTATTTAAGATATTTACGAAATAGCAATTTTTTTCCAAAAGTTTAACACCATGTTTCTTGAAAACAAAGCATCAGCGGACCAATGTTTATATGAATTTTTTGGCTTAAAGTTACTCAAATGATCGTCGTTAAATTTATTGTGCGTACTTACTTAACACCCTGTATAATTATTATAGCCCAATTATGGGTTAGAACTATAACAGTTTAAAAGAAAGTACTAGAAAATACGATTACTCTGAGCCAATCCATCGCACAAATGTAGGAACAATTCGCACACACAAATAAGGAGCATCGGCTTCTTGCCCCTACGAAAATTACGTAAACAAGGCACGGCAAACCACAAGTGCATCAATCACGTAGCCTTTTTATTTTTCTTGTATTTTAAAAACTTCGAGCGAACCTCTTTCTTAACGAAATTATTTTGTACCTTTATTTTGGGACGCTGTGTACATATTTTTGATTTTCAAGAAACGTTTCCACATTACAAATATGCGAGTTTCCAATTCAACGTCCTTAAATAACAAGTTTGATATAAAATTCTTATATAGTTTAGGTCTAGGCCGGCAATGTAAACTGTTATGGTTGGATTCGAGATGCAACTTTTGTAAAAGGAAAACGATTGGAATTATTTGTTGCGCAAAGCTAGAATTTCATGAAAAAAAGAATTGAATATGGTAGCGGGAATATTGTTATGAAAGAAGTAATGACATAAATACAAATGTATGTATGTAAAAATGTAGCATTAAGAATATTTTTACATTAAACATCGTTGTTTTTTCAACCGCAATCTAATTTCATGTCGTAAATCCCTCAGCATTCTTCGTTTTAAAACTGGTCA